GGTATTGTAAACGGTATAGAGAAAGACACTGTGGCACACGGTATTGTAAACGGTATAGAGAGAGACACTGTGGAACACGGTATTGTAAACGGTATAGAGAGAGACACTGTGGCACACGGTATTGTAAACGGTATAGAGAGAGACACTGTGGCACACGGTATTGTAAACGGTATAGAGAGAGAGACACTGTGGCACACGGTATTGTAAACGGTATAGAGAGAGACACTGTGGCACACGGTATTGTAAACGGTATAGAGAGAGACACTGTGGCACACGGTATTGTAAACGGTATAGAGAGAGAGACACTGTGGCACACGGTATTGTAAACGGTATAGAGAGAGACACTGTGGCACACGGTATTGTAAACGGTATAGAGAGAGACACTGTGGCACACGGTATTGTAAACGGTATAGAGAGAGACACTGTGGCACACGGTATTGTAAACGGTATAGAGAGAGAGAGACACTGTGGCACACGGTATTGTAAACGGTATAGAGAGAGACACTGTGGCACATGGTATTGTAAACGGTATAGAGAGAGACACTGTGGCACACGGTATTGTAAACGGTATAGAGAGAGACACTGTGGCACACGGTATTGTAAACGGTATAGAGAGAGACACTGTGGCACACGGTATTGTAAACGGTATAGAGAGAGAGAGACACTGTGGCACACGGTATTGTAAACGGTATAGAGAGAGACACTGTGGCACATGGTATTGTAAACGGTATAGAGAGAGACACTGTGGCACACGGTATTGTAAACGGTATAGAGAGAGACACTGTGGCACACGGTATTGTAAACGGTATAGAGAGAGACACTGTGGCACACGGTATTTATTGTAAACGGTATAGAGAGAGACACTGTGGCACACGGTATTGTAAACGGTATAGAGAGAGACACTGTGGCACACGGTATTGTAAACGGTATAGAGAGAGACACTGTGGCACACGGTATTGTAAACGGTATAGAGAGAGACACTGTGGCACACGGTATTGTAAACGGTATAGAGAGAGACACTGTGGCACACGGTATTGTAAACGGTATAGAGAGAGAGAGACACTGTGGCACACGGTATTTATTGTAAACGGTAGCTCCCGAGAGCGCCACGTGACGCTCCAGACAAACGGCCGGTCGCAAATGGATGTCTACCTCCTTATTACAGAAGACCTAAGCTAAATCAGTACTAGCTATAGTACAGAGGACTTAAAGTACAATCCAGACTGTCGTATAACACGCCCTGTGGCGTCTGGGCAGAATAGTTTACATTTAAATAACTCAGTTCTAGAAAAAAAGGTCATGCGTCTAATGATGCACAATTGGTAATACAGTAAGTTTCGTTAGTGGAGTTACAGTTCTAGAAATAACGTTTAGAACCCCTTTTATAACGATATGTGCGGGTTTTTTTTTACATCATCCAATCAAATGATCTGAAACTGAGATCACGCGTCTAAAAATACACGATTGGTAAAGCATTGATGAAATCCTCTTTGAATATTGCGTCATCGTTTCTTCTTAGACCGCATCAACGCGAGGGACTAGAATGTTAATTGTTATTATTTAAAGAAAATAATTTAGTTTCTGCTTTTTTAGTGTATCTATGTCTATAAAAGCAAAGTGGGGGGTTGTTGTTTGTTACGCACACCCTGAATAACAGTGTCTTTGCAGGCAAATTTCAGAGGAAACGGGCCCAACTCAGTGGCGTGCAGACCTATGTAGATGCCCGGGGCAAACTCAAGCGGAAGATGCCCCCATATATATATATATATATATATATATATATATATATATATATATATATATATATATATATAAAGCTTAGTTGCAAAAAAAAATAAGTTGTGATTGACGCTAATATACATAGAAAAGCATTTATTTAAAAAAAATTGTACTTATCTTAATTAAGATGAAAACGTTGACTACAGCCAGCTAAATCCAAATGGAATGAATGGTTGGAACTTGGGGGGGGGGGGGGGGGGGGTTGGTAAGGGGGGTGACAATTGCGGGACGTGTCGTGGTGGGGAGGGTGGGCTGTGATGCACTGCAAAAGAGTCTCATCCGGTTTTGTATTACCACCCGGGACCGCAGGGACAAAAACGTTGTCCGTGTCTACAATTAGGGCGTCAGATACGCCTTTATTTATGGGATGTTTCTCTCTTGGCCTGTTTAGGAATTCCTGTAGTGTAAATAATAAAGGTGAGAGTGTGCATTGAACTAGAGATGTTTCAGATTTTTTTCTCTAAACCACTTGGTCAAAACGTCAACTCTTTAAAGAAATGGGTGATGCTAAATACTCTCAAACTATCTTAACCTTGAATATAACAGAAGTGTTATTCGAGTTATTTTCGAAACTATTATTTAGATACTTATAAAATCATTTACAATGTTATTAAAATAAATAAAGTTATAACCATCTGACTATAGATTTTGTTGGACTTTACTAAAGATTGGATATAACTGATATTTTAGTATTATCTGTGACTAAACACATTTTGCTTTAAATTTAAATCCTAAAACATCTGGGTTTTATTTTTTAATTTTTTTTTATTTTAAAAAGTTGTTTCGGCAAAGTTTTGAGTGCAAATTACTATATTTTTTTAAAATAATTTGGGATTTTCAGACTTACGATCACAGAGTTCCCGCACAGCCAAACAATGTTTGTCTTACGAAAGTAAAATATTAGTTTATAACTTAGGCTTGATGAAAGTTGATAGAAATGTTGCCTTAAACTCAAATAGTTATTTTTAAGTTCTCTTTATTTGCAACTCTTGAAACATTGATTCTAAAAATGTTACATTTCTAAAATATTTATTTATTTTTCGGCATAATGGGGTGGGGGTGGGTGGTGGGAGGGGTGGTGGGCGGTGGGAGGGTGGGGGAAGGGGAGGGGGGTCAGGGGTATTTCTTGATTCAACAGTCAAACTGTAAACCCTGTGGTTGATTGACCCGGAGTATCTCGGGCTTCATTATGAGCATTATATATATATATATATATATATATATATATATATATATATATATATATACATTAGTAAACTGCCTAACTCAATTTTTAATTAATTATTTAAAGCATTACCTAATTTAATAATTTAACTCATTTCATCGCAAAGTCTTTCATAAAACAACAAATCACAAAAACATTTGCCTTAACTCTAAATTGGGCGAGATATACTCGAGTTTTAAAAACATTTAGATTTAAACTCATTTATACCTTTTAATTAAAATATACTTTTATTTTCACTACCACTCTTATTCCCTCTTATAATTGTTAATTATGGTTTCCCGTGTTTGTTTTATTCTTGTGTTTTTTCTGCATTTATATTAATAATTTTGAACACATATTTTTTCCACTGTCACATTCCTTAGTATACTTTAATAATGATAAGAGAAGTTATTGTTTTTTAATGTGAGTACAAAACTATTAAAATTATTAGACTATTTAAATAGGGGTGATAAGTTATGGTTGAGGGTTTCCTCTTGTAATGTGTTTTTGTGTGTGTCTATGTAATGGTGTGTGTTAGTTACTGTAGAACAATCACTACTGTAGTAGACCTTTAAAAAACCCATTAGTCTATCAAGGTGCAAAGGAAATTGTTGATTTTGGTCGGATTTTTAGCCCCCTAAATGGCTTGACCCCCCCCTCCCCCCCCCCACCACCTCATTACCCGTTTTCCCAAATGTACTTAACAGATCAGTACGACGAGGGGGGGGGGTCAACTTCATTTACTAATGTCCGCCACTTTAGGTCTATTATCTTGCCCAGCCTATACCTATGTGTGACATTAATGTCGCTCTACACAACTCCGGCCCGTCCCGTTCTGGTGGTGAGGTGGTCGGGATAACCTACTCAGAGTAAATATACATCAATTTTTATATGGCTGTTCTAAACATACATATACAATTATACATATATACTGATTCAGAAATAGATTTAAATAAGTGACTGGTATTATGACACAATTTTTTTTTACAAAGGGGTCCATGGGGGAGGGGGTTATAACACTCCCTCCCCCCTCCCCACCGGCCTACGCCACTGTCGCCCAGAAGCTAAGATCCAAAAATATAGTGCTGACAGTGTTTATTTTTAAATAGCCCAGTTCTAGGAAAGATGTCACACGTCTTAAAATCCCGATTGGTAATACGTTAATGAAACCCTCATGTAAAGTTGCGTCAGTTGGGTGTGAGGGGCTAGATCGCAGCATCGCGCGACGGGTAAGCTAGTACATAATACAGGTCATGTGGTATTTATCCACTTCTGCATAACATAATGATGTGACCCCCTTCACTCTCGCATAGAACATCGTCACATAAAGGTGACCCCTTCACTCTTGCATAGAACATTGTCACACAAAGGTGACCCCCTTCACTTTCGCATAGAACATTGTAACAAAAAGGCGACCCCCTTCACTCTTGCATAGAACATCGTCACACAAAGGTGACCCCCTTCACTCTTGCATAGAACATTGTAACAAAAAGGTGACCCCCTTCACTCTTGCTTAGAACATTGTAACAAAAAGGCGACCCCCTTCACTCTTGCATAGAACATCGTCACACAAAGGTGACCCCCTTCACTCTTGCATAGAACATTGTAACAAAAAGGTGACCCCCTTCACTCTTGCTTAGAACATTGTAACAAAAAGGTGACTTCCTCCCGTGACCGAGAGTAGCGCCCTATCGCCGTGCCTGTCAGACGAGGTCACCAGTTGACCTAGATAAGACTATCATCAACTGACGCGCCCAAGTCTCCAACACTGAGCGTTAAAGCCCTAGCCTAGTCCTGCTTTGGTTACCACTGTTTTGATGGGAGTTACCACACAGTCCATTTCTATTACTGGGGATCAGCTACCCTCACAATTCTCCTACTGGGGATCAGCTACCCACACATTTTTGTTACTTATTTCAATGTATAAAGTCAAATCCAAGACTCGGGGACGGGCGATTGCTACAACTGAGGTAAGTGTTTGCCGTCATGTGCAGTAAATGTGCTTGTGTTTTCTCAGGGTGGCGATGTTCTATTCTTCTCATTTGGGTTGTAAGCACACTGGCTACACACAACAAATGGTGGGCCTGTAACAACGAATGTGCTCGCTGTGTCAGGAGGGTGACGCCCATGGAGGAGCTTATTGTTCAGTTTTACCCGGGACTCTTCAGCGAGACGCCACCAGAAAATATCTACAACAGTCCTGGTAAGTTATTAACAATTCATTTTATCAATCGTCTGTTTTTTAAGTAGAAAAAAAGAAATTTGTTTTCTGTGATAGGAAATATAGATACGTGTTTTGTAAGGTATGAAATCACTTTTGTGAAGTAGAAAATCTCCAAATGTCTTTTGTGGATAGAATATGTATGTGTTTATATTATAATTATAGATTTTTTAAAATAGTCTTAGATGCCATGTCCAAACCCGGTTTTTTATTGTTTGTATTTTGTATTGGAAAATGTAATATTTCCATCACAAAAGTGTAATTTTGCAGTTCCGAAAAAAAAAAAACAACATGAAATTTCTTTCGTTTTCTTCGTTGCTCAATTTAACATAATTATTTTCGTAAGCGATTACAATACACAGTTGACCTTGGATTTGCTTAGAGACATTACCTCTCCCCCCCCCCCCCTCTTTTTATTTTTACCTGTGTAGCAAACACACCAGAAATGATAGAAACACGTCCGGACCGTTTAGTGTCAAGCTTGTGACAAAGCACCAGAAACACTGAAAGGGTTTATCCATTCATGACATCTAGTTTATCCATTCATGACATCTAGTTTATCCATTCATGACATCTAGTTTATCCATTCATGACATCTAGTTTATCCATTCATGACAACTAGTTTATCCATTCAAGACATCTAGTTTATCCATTCATGACATCTAGTTTATCCATTCATGACATCTAGTTTATCCATTCATGACATCTAGTTTATCCATTCATGACATCTAGTTTATCCATTCATGACATCTAGTTTATCCATTCATGACATCTAGTTTATCCATTCATGACATCTAGTTTATCCATTCATGACATCTAGTTTATCCATTCATGACATCTAGTTTATCCATTCATGACATCTAGTTTATCCATTCATGACATCTAGTTTATCCATTCATGACATCTAGTTGATCCATTCATGACATCTAGTTGATCCATTCATGACATCTAGTTTATCCATTCATGACATCTACCTAAAAAAATGGAGTTTAAGGCTGTCGCCCCCCCCCCCCCCCTCCCGACCCTATCCTTTTTAGACGTCCAATTGATCAGTTCAATAACAAATGTTGTGTATGTTTTCATCCCACATACCATTTCAGTAACATATTTCATAAGCTTGTTTCCTTTAAAAAAAAATTTCCCCACGTCAACAAAAACGGTTACATCATATTAAACTTACATAGTTGGTTTTGAAAGAAAATGTTAAAAGTATTCTTTTATGAAGTTGTTGGCATAACTCTAAAAATTCATAAGGTTCTGCTAACACTCGGCCCATCACCCAATGTGCCGTATTGTGCGGCTGTGCCTGATCTCAAGTACTATTTCATTACATAACAGATACCAAGGGTCAATGACCCGTTCAGGGTTGCTTGTTTAACTGTAGACAGTTTTTATTTAATATTTTAACACGTGGGCGTCCATATTAACATTAATTAAAATACAGATGACTTAAGCTAGGCCACCATTAGCTATGGTACAAAGGACTTAAGCTAGGCCACCATTAGCTATGGTACAGATGACTTAAGCTAGGCCAACATTAGCTATGGTACAGATGACTTAAGCTAGGCCAACATTAGCTATGGTACAGAGGACTTAAGCTAGGCCACCATTAGCTATGGTACAGATGACTTAAGCTAGGCCAACATTAGCTATGGTACAGATGACTTAAGCTAGGCCACCATTAGCTATGGTACAGATGACTTAAGCTAGGCCACCATTAGCTATGGTACAGAGGACTTAAGCTAGGCCAACATTAGCTATGGTACAGATGACTTAAGCTAGGCCACCATTAGCTATGGTACAGATGACTTAAGCTAGGCCAACATTAGCTATGGTACAGATGACTTAAGCTAGGCCAACATTAGCTATGGTACAGAGGACTTAAGCTAGGCCAACATTAGCTATGGTACAGATGACTTAAGCTAGGCCAACATTAGCTATGGTACAGATGACTTAAGCTAGGCCACCACTAGCTATGGTACAGAGGACTTAAGCTAGGCCAACATTAGCTATGGTACAAAGGACTTAAGCTAGGCCAACATTAGCTATGGTACAGATGACTTAAGCTAGGCCAACATTAGCTATGGTACAGATGACTTAAGCTAGGCCACCATAGTCCACATTTTGTGGTGTTGACGATTGAGTCAATGGCAGCCTTTGTAACGCGTCGGCTTTTTGTCTTGATCCTATGCATTGTTATGTAATGAGCGTGGTAAATTAGGGCGGTAAAGGTGGTTGAAACATTATTGCAATAAGTTGAGGAGTGTATATAATATTAGCTAGTCTGTATTAAAATAAACACGACAAAACTGAGTAGGTATTAACATTCTATTAAATTCTACTTCTAAATTTAAAAAAAAAGTACAAAATAAAACACACACATTAGCTTTTGTCACTAAAATATTTAAAAGATCTCATGAGCTGCCAAAGAAAGCAAATTAGTTTTATTTTCTAATTTTCAGTGCATTTAAAAGCTTGTTGCTATAAGAAAAATTATATTTGTTTTATTTTCTACTTTTTAATAATTTCTAATTTATGGAGTCGACACGACTAAAAGTATTTGCTTCAAAACACCATCAGTAGCTCGCGATATCTGAAAGACTATTATCTGCCCCGTGAAAGCAGCCGTCCGTGACCACAATTTTTTTTTATCTTACTACCTTTTCTTTGTTTCAAATCGTTTAAGAACTTTCTTATCTGCCCCTAAAAACCTTCACTACGACTGTAAACATTCTCCATCTCACCAGACTGTTAGGGTGATCGCGTCTAGCTAGTTATCTCCCCTTCTGTTATTGAATAATCTATCGCGTGATTTAATTTTGTTATCTTCCCTTAGTTTCGAAACAAACTCATTAACTTTTAATCAGTATTGCTACGCCCCTGCTTTTAATTGCTAATTAAACATATATGTAGATTTTTAAAAAAATAGATAAACTTGTATTGCCATCGAAGTGGAAAGTTTGAACGAAATTGATGCATTAGAAGTGGGTCAAATTGAGTTATAAGAGTTGCCAAAAATCCACAAGCAAACAAACAAACAAACAAACAAACAAACAGACGTTGCGAGCTAAATAAACGCTTGTCTGTTATGCCTCAAGTCTCAAGTACTCCCTTCCAAAAGATTGGGCTTGAAAAGAAATGCTCATAGCCTACGTTAGAAAAGAAATAAACCTACATTTTTTTTTTAAAGTAGGCAATGGACTTTTAAAAATTATGTTGCCTTAAGAGATAATAGACTAATCATGTAAAGGTTATGTTATTCTTGTTCAGATCTCTCTTAACAAGCTGTTTGAAACTAAATTTATCTTCTGTTTTTGTTTTTTTTTCTTTTAGAAACACCGGGTTCCCGTATGTCAACAATCAACAGTGGCAGTGCCTGGATATCCCATCGGACATTGGATGGAAGTTTCAACAGGAGTGTCAGCCACGGTCAATGGGACGCCAAAAACAATGCTAGCTTGGCCAATGCTCCATACTCCCAGCGTGTCACCTCACACCCCTCTGTGCCTGAATGTTGCAAAACGTAGGAACTCTTGTCTCGTCTCTAGTTATTTATAAGCTTGGTGTAAACATAAGTACAAAACAAAAACATGTGTAGAGCACATTTTCACATACCTTCTGTGTTCATGCAAGTATGCTCTGCAGGCAATTGTATCAGCATTGAATACTCATGTAACAACACAAAGCTATGTAAGACCTAATATTATCATCTGTTGGAAGTGTGAAGGTCTATTATCATCTGTTGGAAGTGTGGAGGTCTATTATCATCTGTTGTAAGTGTGGAGGTCTATTATCATCTGCTGGAAGTGTGGAGGTCTATTATCATCTGTTGGAAGTGTGGAGGTCTATTATCATCTGTTGGAAGTGTGGAGGTCTATTATCATCTGTTGGAAGTGTGGAGGTCTATTATCATCTGTTGGAAGTGTGGAGGTCTATTATCATCTGCTGGAAGTGTGGAGGTCTATTATCATCTGTTGGAAGTGTGGAGGTCTATTATCATCTGTTGGAAGTGGAGGTCTATTATCATCTGTTGGAAGTGTGGAGGTCTATTATCATCTGCTGGAAGTGTGGAGGTCTATTATCATCTGTTGGAAGTGTGGAGGTCTATTATCATCTGTTGGAAGTGTGGAGGTCTATTATCATCTGTTGTAAGTGTGGAGGTCTATTATCATCTGTTGTAAGTGTGTAGGTCTATTATCATCTGTTGGAAGTGGAGGTCTATTATCATCTGTTGGAAGTGGAGGTCTATTATCATCTGTTGGAAGTGTGGAGGTCTATTATCATCTGTTGGAAGTGTGGAGGTCTATTATCATCTGTTGGAAGTGTGGAGGTCTATTATCATCTGTTGGAAGTGTGGAGGTCTATTATCATCTGCTGGAAGTGTGGAGGTCTATTATCATCTGTTGGAAGTGTGGAGGTCTATTATCATCTGTTGGAAGTGGAGGTCTATTATCATCTGTTGGAAGTGTGGAGGTCTATTATCATCTGCTGGAAGTGTGGAGGTCTATTATCATCTGTTGGAAGTGTGGAGGTCTATTATCATCTGTTGGAAGTGGAGGTCTATTATCATCTGTTGGAAGTGTGGAGGTCTATTATCATCTGTTGGAAGTGTGGAGGTCTATTATCATCTGTTGTAAGTGTGGAGGTCTATTATCATCTGTTGGAAGTGTGGAGGTCTATTATCATCTGTTGGAAGTGTGGAGGTCTATTATCATCTGTTGGAAGTGTGGAGGTCTATTATCATCTGTTGTAAGTGTGGAGGTCTATTATCATCTGTTGGAAGTATGGAGGTCTATTATCATCTGTTGGAAGTGTGGAGGTCTATTATCATCTGTTGGAAGTGTGGAGGTCTATTATCATCTGTTGGAAGTGTGGAGGTCTATTATCATCTGTTGGAAGTGTGGAGGTCTATTATCATCTGTTGGAAGTGTGGAGGTCTATTATCATCTGTTGGAAGTGTGGAGGTCTATTATCATCTGTTGGAAGTGTGGAGGTCTATTATCATCTGTTGGAAGTGTGGAGGTCTATTATCATCTGTTGGAAGTGTGGAGGTCTATTATCATCTGTTGGAAGTATGGAGGTCTATTATCATCTGCTGGAAGTGTGGAGGTCTATTATCATCTGTTGGAAGTGTGGAGGTCTATTATCATCTGTTGGAAGTGTGGAGGTCTATTATCATCTGCTGGAAGTGTGGAGGTCTATTATCATCTGTTGGAAGTGGAGGTCTATTATCATCTGTTGGAAGTGTGGAGGTCTATTATCATCTGTTGGAAGTGTGGAGGTCTATTATCATCTGTTGTAAGTGTGGAGGTCTATTATCATCTGTTGGAAGTGTGGAGGTCTATTATCATCTGCTGGAAGTGTGGAGGTCTATTATCATCTGTTGGAAGTGTGGAGGTCTATTATCATCTGTTGTAAGTGTGGAGGTCTATTATCATCTGTTGGAAGTGTGAAGGTCTATTATCATCTGTTGGAAGTGTGGAGGTCTATTATCATCTGTTGGAAGTGTGGAGGTCTATTATCATCTGTTGGAAGTGTGGAGGTCTATTATCATCTGTTGAAAGTGTGGAGGTCTATTATCATCTGTTGGAAGTGTGGAGGTCTATTATCATCTGTTGGAAGTGTGGAGGTCTATTATCATCTGTTGGAAGTGTGGAGGTCTATTATCATCTGTTGTAAGTGTGGAGGTCTATTATCATCTGTTGTAAGTGTGGAGGTCTATTATCATCTGCTGGAAGTGTGGAGGTCTATTATCATCTGTTGTAAGTGTGGAGGTCTATTATCATCTGTTGGAAGTGTGGAGGTCTATTATCATCTGTTGGAAGTGTGGAGGTCTATTATCATCTGTTGGAAGTGTGGAGGTCTATTATCATCTGTTGTAAGTGTGGAGGTCTATTATCATCTGTTGGAAGTGTGGAGGTCTATTATCATCTGTTGGAAGTATGGAGGTCTATTATCATCTGTTGGAAGTGTGGAGGTCTATTATCATCTGTTGGAAGTGTGGAGGTCTATTATCATCTGTTGGAAGTGTGGAGGTCTATTATCATCTGTTGGAAGTGTGGAGGTCTATTATCATCTGTTGGAAGTGTGGAGGTCTATTATCATCTGTTGGAAGTGTGGAGGTCTATTATCATCTGTTGGAAGTGTGGAGGTCTATTATCATCTGTTGGAAGTGTGGAGGTCTATTATCATCTGTTGGAAGTGTGGAGGTCTATTATCATCTGTTGGAAGTGTGGAGGTCTATTGTGATGGTATTACAATGCTAGCGAAATGTACCACTGATCATGAACTTCATTTGGAAATCTGTACTAAACAAGTTTAAAAAAAAAATTTGTAACAATGATAACACAGAAAAAACCAGAGATTGTTTTTTTTAGTTTAAAGTAAAAAGTACTTGAAATGCCTGTTTTCAATACCTTCTGATATAGCACAATTAAACTTGAATTTGACTAACGGTTTAACACTTGCAGAAACGTCGCCTACGATACACCACCAACTGTGACTATCAGAGGGCGTATCTACCAAGTTGTCCATTTACTACACGCCTATCAGTTTATTCCCATTGGAAGATGCGCCACGTAAGTGTTTCTCTCACTGTACGCCTAATTCGTTATAATAGGGCTAGGGGTCATCCATAAATGACGTCACGCTTTTTTGACGATTTTTACCTTCCCCCTCCCCTCCGTCACACATCGTCACAAAAAGCCAGACCCTCCCCCTACAATGACGTCACACCTCAGCCTACAACCCCCCCCCCCCCTCAAAATTGCAGTTGGATTTTTTTTTAACATCGATATTTTTCCAAAATCTTGTATGAACTCTGTCAAAATAGAGTATTTTGATCAATTCCTATTACAATTTATTAAAACAGTTTTCTAAAACGCGAAATAACGTCTAACATTCGTTTTCTAACATTGCTTTTTTTATAATGCAAAAGTGTGAAGTCGCACCATCTGAACCCCCCCCCCCCCCTCCCTCTCATCACACACCGTCACAAAATTACGAACCCCCCCCCCCTCCCCCCTACGAGTGTGAAGTCATTTATGGACCACCCCTTAATCCATTTTAAATGCTTAAGCTTTTTAAAATAGAATAAAATCTAAAAAGTGGTTTGCTTGCAGAGTTTCTTTCATGCGAAACCCATTTAATCCCCCCCCCCCCCCCCGGTAGAACGTTTAATCCCTCCACCAAAAAAATGAAATATAATTTATTTAGGAAATATATTATACTTTTACCAGTGTCAGGCTCCCCCGTTCGGATAATTTTATTCGCCTCTGCAAAAATTCAAGTGCCCCACCCCCAGAAAAATATCTGAAAAACACTGTCTGCGAGAGTGAGGTTTATCGGCCAAAAGTAGGAAACGAGGTAACGACTCTAAATTATAGAAGTAGGCTCTACCTTTAGTCTGTATGATCAACAAATACGATCAGTGTTTCTTTCAGACTTTTTCCTCCTCTGAGGGGGGTACTTGAAATTTTCGAGGGTGCGTGTGGACTAAATTTTCTGGCAGGGGGGCGTACACTGGCGAAGTATATTTTCTATATAAATTCTATTTCGTTGAATGGGACGGTAGATGTGCTTTGAGGTGTGTGTGTGTGGGGGGGGGGGGGGGCAAGTAGAGTCGCCTAAAAGAAACTCTAAATGCGACTTTTGTCATGATTGAGATTATTTGCAAGGTTTAGGGGTATGGCTGCAACTACGTAGAGATCAAGCTTAAATCCTATTAAAGTACCGATTCAGGATAAAAATCCTGTTTTAATGTCATTTTTCGTTTCCGGTTAAAATGAATTAAGGTGGTGATTTTGGCTTTGGTTTAAGTTTAGAGAAAATAGACAGCATTATCAACCTATTGTCCGTTGTATCCTTCCTCAACGGGCCATTTTTCGCGTATAAGAATATTCTAGAAAGTTTAGGGGAGATCACTCCCTGTTTATTTAGTATTACTTTTTACATACTTTCTACTATTTTATTTAGCCTATATTATGTTGTTACTTCTCTAATTCAACCCGTTGTAAGTCAATAGATCTTTTGGTTAAATAATATAGATCTAGGCCTACAATAGAAATAGGCTTACTTATCGTAGCTTATGTGACAAATGATGTATTTCGCCTGCATAAATATGAGTTTCTTAAGATATTGTATGTGTTCAGTTAAAGAAATGTTTATTTTGAAAGAATTAACTTGACACTTTAGCATCATTTTGTGTAATTTTAAATATATTATTGTTTTAGTTTACTCTGTAGATCTATATAAAAAAATGTTATATATTTAACTTTTACGTAAATTCATTTGTAAATTAAAATCTAGTATAAAAATAAAAGGATCTTGACCAGATAAGCCCAGACAAAAAAGTTAACCCCCGACACACACACACACACACAAAAGAATAAAATGAGGATATGAAACTTGTAATTTTAGTTTTAAACCCTTACCCTAAACGTTGAGGTAGTTTCGATATAAAGAACCCAAAATCAACTTTTTATATTTTTGAGAACAGGATAAAAAAAAATACTTTTCAATGTCTCTGAGGCGAAATTGACTTAACCACATTACCGATAATCGAATTGATTGGATGTTACTGTTGCCTAGTTAGTCATCAGTTTTGAAAACATAATTGGAGATTAAGTAATAGTTTACTACTGTTAACGATATTTTTTAAACTACCATACGTTTCTGTGATACTTATTTCAGTTATAAACCATATGTACATGTTGTTTCTAGTGCATTGCCCCCCCCCCCTCGACATTACCCCCCACCCTGAGCAATTACCCCTTGTCATTTCGACCTAGATCTATGTGCCAAAAATATTGTTTGTATACTTTTAAATAACGTCGCTTCATGTAAACAGTTTCCGAACAGATTACAGCTGATGTTAATAATAAAGGGAAGGAAAGGGAAATTAAATGTACTTCAATTAGCTTGTAAGAGCAAATTAGGGGGACCCTAAAAGTTGTGTCCTCGAGCTGCTGCCCACTATGTCTCCCCCCCCCCCACACACTTATTCCGCCACTGTGTTGAGCGGCGTCTGAGTGATATAAAATGCTTAAAAAACTAATTGCACGTCTTTGCTCCTCAGTCCAGGTGCCAAGTGTCCTTACGGTGAATGCGTAGAGCAGTATCGGGCCCACTGGGTCCTTATTTACAATAGCAGCACACCAGCAGTTGGACCACCTGTCAGTTTCTCAGCCATTGAAGTGCCATCCCATTGTGAATGTATAAATGTAGGAAGACCTTGAGCCGATTATAAACTAGGCATAAACAAATACAATTTAATGGTAATCAGACAGATTATACACGGATTTACTTATTGTCAAAACATTTGAGAAGCCTTGACAAACATTTTTCAACTTGTTTCATTAAAGAAAAAGTTTAAAAATAAAATTCACCAAACACGACTGCACAAATTTTGAAACAAAGAAAATGAAGCTTAGTACAATGCAAGCTTTAGTTTAATTCACAAACAAATGGTAATTTTAATGAACGATATTTAATTATTTTTGCAATGACCCACATATTTAAAACACCATTTTCATGCCAATGATGACAACATATCTAACATTTGAACATACTGTATATTTATGTTTGCCAAGAATTGATTTATTTACATAATGTGCATTATACGATATACTTTCATGTGTATTACATGTATTATGCATCAGCTGTTAAAAAAGGCATATATAAAGAGATACAGTGTCAGAAAAGGGGGCACAGTAATGAAATAAACCTGCTTTGTGTAGTAAAGGTTTTGCTCACTAAAACGTTCAAGAGATTTTATGAGCTACCAATGCTTTTACTAAAGAAACAGATACTACATGGAGGACAGACAAACATGGTGATCTAAATAAAAGGCTATAAAACATGTCAACATTATAAGATTATTGTGTAGACTGATTTATTCATCTTACCGCATACATATTATTTAGCATGTTAACTATTCTCAGCAAAGAAATTGTTAGCAAATGAATAGTCATTCTACAGTATGACCGCACTGGGTGAGACCATCCAAGGGGGTGACACCAAAACAAAATCTAGCTAATTTATATGAGAAAGTCTGCTTTCCTCTGTTTGTACAATAACATCAACATTATATACATCACAAGACACAGGGTGACGCCAATGTTTTTAGTAAATGTTATATATATATATATATATATATATATATATATATATATATATATATATATATATATATATATATATATATATAAGCAGATGGGGTGCGATCCTGTTTACGGCATCGTGTATGCCTTGACCAGGTGATGCCCGCCGGTCATCTGTGTGAAAGTCAGTTATTTTTTTTAGATACTTTCTTTCTAAGTTGCATGCTGTCCATTTGCCTCATGAGACTTGCAGCGCTTTTTATCCATATTCAAACAAACTACATCATGAGTTGAAAGCAGTATTAAGATTTATTACATTATGCAATTTTGGAGTTTACAAAAATATTCAATATTATTATATTGTGTTACTTTGGAGTTTTAGAAAATAATTAGTTCTTAATTGCTTTTTGTCAAAACTATTTAATAATTGTAACTATTTGATTTCAATTTGAAATATGTTATTTCATAAAACGTCTAATTACTAGTCATATAATTGAAACACATGTTCTTAAAAGTGATTGACTAAATGTTTCTTTTTAAATCTATTATTGTTAAATGATGACTAAGAGAGGATGCTGAAGAAACAACAACACTTTCTGATGGATAATAACTTTCTGATACATAATTATAGTTTTTTTATACATATTTATAGACCTAAATTGTGTAAATTAAATTAAACACTTCTGAAATAATAGTTTTGCTTTTGTTTTTTATGTCACTAGCCGTCGGTACCCATTAAATGAGAGTTATATGCCTATATATTTTTTTAAATTTTAAACATGTTCGAGAAAAATATTTTATATTTTGGTCAAAACACAATGTTCTTTACTACACGTTGAACGATATTAGTGACAAAGCAAAGAATTAACCAAATAGCTAAAAATTCGGCACATTTAAAATAACATAGGCTACAAATACCTATCATACAAACAAAATACATACATTATTAGTCAACACAACACCATATTAAACTAGCTGCATCCCGTGCTCCGCCACGGTAAATCTTTTTTAAATGTACCAACTTGGGAACAGAACAAAACTAAATACAACACAAACGAACGCAAAAAAAAAAAACACAAACGAAAAAACAAACACAACACTCATAACATAAACACAATTTAAATGCAATCATATAGGCATATTGCTCACAGTCTAGCCCGTAGCGCCAAATCGCGCCCTTTCCGGTGATTTGCATCCCCTCAAACTTTCGATTTGCACCCCTGTCACCCCGCCCTAAAACTTTCGATTTCCACCACCCCCCCCCCCTCGCAAATTTTTTCCAACCCACTTTGGCGCCCCCTAAGGTCGGCACCCGGGGACATATGCCCCCCCCCCCCCCCCCCTCGCTACGCCTCTCCTATAAAACCCCTAGCTTGTCCGCAAACCGAAAGATAGAATAATAATTGGTAATCAGTATAAATAATAGGCAGTATTTAAAATATCCGTGTTTTACCTACAATATTTCACTTTATCCATTCACGCATTTTTTTCCAGTACTTTAAATTTTAAAAATTTACAATAGAGTTTCATAACTAAAACCATTGCGCACCTAATGAACGTGATGACGATTGACGCGTCTATAATAGTGCTGAATAGTTGATTAAAAATTATAAGTAATAAACAGTAGGGCCTACATTTAGTGAATAGAATAAATAAAAGATTGCTAATTATAATTTTCTAACAATAATTTACTCTTACACATCCGGATAATTTGCATTCACATTTTGCTAATTATATTATTGCAACACTAATTCCTTCTATGACGACCGTATATTTGCATTCACATTTTTTATTAGCGTGAGTTTAATGTATTTTTAAATTACCTCTTTTGTCAAAATTAGAAAAAAAGTTATATTAATTTGATTTTTCTACCGTACTGTTATTATGTTATTGAAATGTATCCATTTTTTTCTAGGAATATAAACGAAAATGATATTTGACATTGATACTTTTAATATGTTTTAGCCATGTGTGTATATTTAATATTTTCTTTAAGTTATGCAAAATTGTACAAACAGTGGAAATTATAAAATAGCTCTATGCCGCTATATAAACAAACCCTACTCTAATACTTATAATAAGACACTGCGGTGCACTGAAAAGCACAGCATGGTGCGTAGTTTACTTTTATAGTCCCAAAATCTATAGCGATGACGGAAGGACTGACACACTACTTGCCCGCTTATATTATAGATGAACACACTGATAAAGAGAATTAAATGATTCCTTTAAAAACCCGGCTGTTCAATGGTATTTCTGTTTTTTAAAAAAAGTAATTTGTATTACTTTAGACCGAGAAAATAGTATACATTTCATAACGTACGTCCCGATGAGTAGATCTATAGATCTTAATCAAATTTGAATGAAATCGTTCATTTCTTTATATTCTAAAAATTGGAAGATGACCCCTTTAGTTTTGTGTTCTTTCCGTAGTTTAAACATGTGGCCCGTGACATCATTGTTTTTTGCGTTCTTTTCATAAATATGAAAAATGTAAATTGTGTTTCTACATTCAAATATGCCTTAATTTTATTTTTCTTCTTTAAATAAAATTTAGTTTATACATTTATAACATCCACCATGTTATTTTCAACAAAAGTCGGTATCTTTAAGTTCTCCATATATCACTGAACATACTGATCACATCGCCTAAAACAACTTGCCGACAGAGAGAGAGAGAGAGAAGTGCGCACATGGGCTTTTATATATTAGGATTATATGTCAATGAATGTATGTATGTATTATGTATTTATGTATGCATATATATGTAACGCCACAATTGATTACAACGTAATAGTTGTCTGTCAACAAGGTCAAGGTCAAAACTGAACCTAGTTATATTTATGTTTATATATATATATATATATATATATATATATATATATATATATATATATATATATATATATATATATATATATATATATATATATAGGCCTATATATTTATGGGCCTATATAATATACTAGCCATTGGTACCCATTACACGTGCAATTCGGGTGACAATTTAGCTCTCTTCTCTTTACAAAAGGCTACCCGGTTTTTCTTTTAAAACTATCCGGGGGAGGGTGTGGTGGATGTAGGGGGGGGGGTGTGCAGATACTGGTTTTTCTATATTTTTGTATGAATTACTTTTTTTTTCAATTTCGTTCGGATGTGAAAGGGGGAGAAACGGTAGAGAAGCCTCAAGAAAATGTATATACCTATGGAAAGTGAGTAATGAAATGAATTGTAAATCAGTCTTTTAAAAACTCGTTATCGGAAACTTAGGAAAAGAAACATTTTATTGATCAAGAGCATTGGAATGAAACATTGTTATGATTATGAAAAAAAGGGTTTTGTTTTACGTACTGGCTATGTTTATACTTGTTTAAAATAACATACACAACCAATACCTATTTAAAAGAAATTATAACCAAATTATATACAGTATTAGTCAACACAATACCATATTAAATGCACTCGCTGATAAAGAGACTTAAAATTAAGAGATATAAAAGATTTTGTTAAAAACCCGGCTGTTCAATGGTAGTTATATTGTTTTTGTCTTTTAAAAACATTTGCTCAGCATGGGTCTGACTACAATATCCCTGCATATGCTGAAATGACAGAAATAGATTAACTCAACTTTACCTGCCCCGTGTCCTGCCAAGTCCCAATAGGCAACTTTTGATTATTGTGTGTCTCGAACCCGTGCCACCCGCATCTAATATATAAAGCTCAATTCTGTATGTAAAAATAAGTTTGTTTGTCGTTGACATACTTGCATGGATTTAAGTGTTAGATTATTATCGTGCTCATAGTCTAAATTTATGAGTTAAAAAATTACTATTGAAAGTGTTGGGAAATAATGTTCATTTTTCAAACTGATAGTAATAATTGTCGGCATGTTCATTAAACACAATTTAAAAAAAATAAAAAAAAATTCTAATTATGTCTGAAAATTATTTATATTTAGTCTTTTAGCACTTACTTCCCTTTGATAAATTAGGAAAACACAATTACTTCCCTTTATAAAACATTGCATTAGTGGAAAAGAATTTACTTTTTATTACTTTGTTTTTGGTGTTGGGAAAAAAATAATTACATAATTAGCGGGGATTGATCAAGTGCAAATGTTGTAGGTATTTTACGAATAAGCTTGGAGTATTATAATTTTTCATTTGGTTTGGTTTGGCACCTACGTTCGTTTAAAGTGAGTGCAAAAGACTATGAATAAGTTGGGGTACCGTAGTCGATTATTAAGCTGAAACAGGCGATTCTGCCCCGGGCTAGACTGTGAGCACTTTACGTTTATGTTCGCGTTAGTGTTTTCTTTGTGTTTAGGTTGGGTTTGCGTTAGTGGTTGCGTTTTGATTTGGTTCGTTTTTGTTCTTTCTTTTTTCGTTTTCGTTTGTGTTTTTTTCTTTGGGTTTGTGTTTGTATTTGTGTTTGTGGTTGGTTTTGCGTTTGGATTTGGTTTGTTTTCGTTTGCTTTTTCGTTTGTGTTTTTTTTCTTTGGGTTTGTGTTTGTGGTTGGTTTTGCGTTTGGATTTGGTTTGTTTTCGTTTGCTTTTTCGTTTGTTTTTTTCTTTGTGTTCGTATTGGTGTTTGTGGTTGTGGTTGGGTTTGTTGTTAGGTTTTTGTTTTCGTTTGCTTTTTTGTTTGTTTTTTCTTTGTCTTTGTATTGGTGTTTGTGATTGTGGTTGGGTTTGTTGTTAGGTTTTTGTTTTCGTTTGTATTAGTAATTGTGTTAGCGTTATGTTGTTTTGGTTGGTTGTGGTTTGGGTGGGCAATGCCGGGTTTATGATGATTACTAAACACACAGGTAACGGTCTTTAACAGAAAGGTTTTTCACAGAAGCTAGAGCAGGGCCTGGCCGGGACGGCTAGTGGTATTAATAAAACTATCATCTCAGCTATTTAGACATTATAATCTTATGGAGAGTAAAAGAGGTACTTAAAAAACTTAACTTACATGAATAGGCCCCATTCTTTCAAATTAAATTTTATCCCAAATTAGCCCTTTCCATAGCTAAACAAACAAAGATTTGAATAAAATAATTAAGACCTGAAATAGTTTAGTATTGTATTGTATACATTTCCTAGCGTACGTAGATCTAAATCAAAGTTGAATGAAATAGTTCCTTTCTTTATATTCTAAAATCTTAAGATGACGCCATTAGTTTTGTGTTCTTTCCTTAGTGTTAACATTTGTGACGTCATTGTTAATCGCGTGCTTTTCACAACTATAAACACTTTTCCGGTTGCATAATTAAAATTGCTTTTGTACATTCCAATATGCTTTTTTTTTTCTTCTTTAAATAAAATTTAGTTTATACATTTAAAACACATACCATATTATTTTCAACAAAAGTCCGTAGCAAGTTCTCCATATATCGCTGAAGATACTGATCTGATAGCCTGTGAAAATATTTTGCGGACAGAGAGAAAGAGAGAGAGAGAGCAGCCGATCAAACACTATTTTCTATGTAAGACTCAATGAAATTATCAATGACGGAGTCAATGATAACTACCGCTCTCTTGAATATTTCTCTCGAGAAACTCAATGATAAAGGAAAGCGTTAATAGTTGTAAAGAGAGAGTTAATCAAAACGGATGTAATTCAATTCGTTTAATTAATAAAGCTTTAATCGTAATTATTAATTCTTTATTTCTCAGAGATTGATACAATGGTTAGTCTATTTTTTTTTTTTAAATAACCTCGATCTTCGTTTAGAATTTATTATTTAAAATAAGATTTAAAAAAATAAATAAATTAAAACAGGCATTTTTACTATATTATTTGAAAAAAAAAACTAATGAATATAATAAATATTTTTAATTATTTCTCACTCTAAACCTATCAAATATCTTTTTTTTTTAAATGCAAGGTAATCTTTTATAGATTCTACATGATTTACTTTTCTTCTAATAATAAAAAAAATCTTAATAAAAGTTATTAATCCTACAAATATTAGTAGTCTCCCTTGACAATTTCTATTCGAATGTATTTTGTGTTGATTTTCGTTATGAAATACAGTTGACTTTTTAAATTAATTATATAAGAAAACAATCTATCTTTGTGTATATTTATTTAAAAAAAATATTATCACAATACTTAGAGTAGGTGTTTCTGGTTCAATAGCAATTATTAAATTATTTCTCATTCTAAATCTTTGGCTATCGAGTTTCATGGATTTTTAAATTTAAGATTATGAACACATTCGCTTGACGAAAATGATTATATACACTTAAATACATAATAAAATGTTACTTTTATTAATAAACCTACACTATTTTATGCACATATAGAAAAAAAGAATATTTAAGTGGCAGGTACAGCGTCAAAAAGAAAAAAAAAGGAAACTACTTTATACTGAATAGTGCTACCTAACAACAAAAATGTAAAAATACATAGTCTTAGAGCACACTAGCACATACTATTATACATACGAACATATGTGGGTGTGTGTAAGTATGATGTGAGGTAGGCAGACAGGCGGGGTGGAAGGAAAGCAGTTTGGCAGGAATAACGGCAGGTAGGAAAGTAGGTAGGCAGGCAGGTTAGTAGATATGTAGGTAAGTAGGCAGGGAGCTAGGTATGTAGGTAGGTGGGCCTACGTAGGAAGGCGCTTCACTCGGTATAGTGAGCGATTATGAAGCCCATCATATCCATAGCGTTTCGAAATTATTAAAACGAACAAAAGTACCATAGTACTCACGGGAAACCCCGGGGAGCTAAATCGAACCCTGCCGGGGCGCCACCAAATCGAATTTATTTTTCGCAGAAACCACCACAGGGGTATTAGCAATAGCTTCTCAAATTTGAATGACAAACGAATGAAATCTTTGGTAATGCTTAAATAAATAAACCCACATATTCGTTTCTGGGACGCGGGTTTATCCACACTGCCACATATATGCACCAAGTCGTACTGTATGAAAGCCTTGAGTGTACGTTAATAAACCTCCGTAATAGTGAGGTAGAACACACTTCGGCGACCGCCCACGTGTTAGAGACGCGTCCATTGGCGCTCCAGGGAGACACTGGTTATACTTCCGCAGGGGCACACCTAATTCGGTTTAATTATCAAATGTCGTGTGCCAACGTGTCCCTATTGTAGGGTGCTCTTTCAAAAGTAAGTAGGCGCTCTCGGTAGAGCCCGGGGCGCTCGCTGTCGCCAACTGCCAGGGCGCTGACGGGCGTTCATTGTTCTACTGATGTTGTTTTACCACTGAATCTCAGAGGCGTTGCGATCCTTCCTGGCGTCTGGGGGCAAATTTTCTATTTGGCACCCCTCCCGCCGGGGACAAACTTTTAATTTGGCGCCCCCATATATTTTTTATATTTATAATGCAAAACTGTAGCTAAAATGAGCTTTTAATTTTTTCCAACCCATTTTGGCGCCCCATAGAGTCAGCGCCCAGGGACATATGTACCCCCCGCCCCCTCGCTATGCCTCTGCTGAATCTAGTATTACCTATGACCGCAATTGATGAGATAGCCCATCTGGATTCCCCTCTGGATTCTGGGCTCATAATCGTATAATGAGAAAACTCGAACCCTTCCAGGGTGCCACCCTTAAGAATTTTTTTCTTTCTCGAAACCCTTTTCACCAAATACGCAAAATTGTAAGGCCCTCGTACGAACAGTGTCAAATCGCATCTGAATTTTATTTTTATGGTGAAAAATTGCATCGCTTCCTGCCAGAGACCCCAGTCACCGAACGAATGGGGCGCCAAAAGGAGGAGAGAGAGAGAGAGAGAGAGAGAGAAGTGCGCACATGGTCTTTTATATATTAGGATATTTATCACATTATATGTATATAATAAACTAGCGCACCCGCCCCATGCGTTCCTGCGACCTTTAGAATAAAATGGTGTATTAAATTAGAACATGGTGTATTTGTAGTAACGTCTAAAAACTGATGCAGATTGCATCATCCGCAAAGCGATAAATTCTACAGGATGGATTCTTCGAATTACAATAAGTTATTTTTAGAAATGTGACCTTGTTTTTCTAAAAGTGCGTTGTTCATTTTATTTCTTGATTCTCAGCTGGTGTGGCTACTGCCTAGACACCACAGGGTGTGCTGTATGAAAGTGTACGTTAATCATCCTCAATAATAGTCAGGGGCTTTTGCGGGCTGCTCTCCTGAGCCACTGGTGCGCCGTCTGCAGCTGTTTTTCTATTGTAGGGTGCGCTTTAAAACAAACGTAGGCAACATTGTACTCATTTTGGAGAACCCGGGGCGCCGAATAGCACCCCGCCATGGAACAGGAAAACGCGCCTGATTCTGTTTAGTGAACGAATATAATAATCCATCGGCTATCGCACTCTATAAAACGAACGTATGCGTCATAGCGCTCACAGGAAAGCCCGGGGTGCACATAATGAACATGATATAATAGTGCGGAATAGTTGGATAAGACAGCCTACTAATTTGGACGAAATTTTAATCAATTCATAAAAATTAATTAGGCATCCAATTAAGTCAAATTTACTGTCAGATTGCATTGTCTTCATATCTCGTGCCAACTTTAAAACGAAATTGTCAGTTAGAAGTGCCCGAAATTTCGCTCGGGCGTTTCGATCTAGACAGAATGACGACGGGCAGACTGTCGACAGCAGAGGCAGCAAGTTTTTAAACTTATATTTCAATTCTTTTAAATGTTTAAAGATAAACTTTTAAAATGCCGCGGTAACCCCCCCCCCCCCTCCTCCTCTTGTAAAAAAGTGCCGTTTTTTTTAGTCGGGCGGTATACAGTTACATTTTAAATACATTTATTCACAGATTGAGCTGGTGTTTTTTTTTTAAACACCAGAACTGCGATGAATTGATACATTTTATATGCAGTATTTAATTTTTAAAAATTTATTTTAGATGTATTTTGATGTAAAATTCAACATGTGGATAACCTCATTGATCCCCCCCCCTCCTGTGTGGACGTCATAAGTGGATGACCTTTTATCTAATGTCTAACCGATCATAACTAAAAAGGCCTACACTGACCCTTCGCCATCCACTGAAGTGATGCGTTTGACTCTATATTTCTAGTAACGATTTGATCTAAATTGATTTTAAAAATTGCATTTCCTAGGCCTAAGCTACTAGCTTACTTCAAACGCACGGAACAAATATAATTTGAAAACAAGTAGATCTAGGCCCAACAAATGTTTATTTTTAAGTTACCAGCCCGGAAATGAAACCGAGGCAGATATTTTTTACATGGTTCAACAGAACAACATAAACTTAGATCTAAATATTAAATATAGATCTAGTTCTACTAGATTCTAGATCTAGATCTAACTAGATTCTAAATGTGGATCTTTGGAAAATTTAGTTTTTAAGAAAAATCTAGATTTAAGTCGAATCGATAGAGGAACAAATGAAAAACACCACTGTCAATCAACTCAATCAGATGAATCAACGATAAACAAAAATAAAAATTCATTAAAATTAAATTAGGCTAGGCCTAAGCCCTAATCTAGCCAGCTAGACCCAACCCTACATACTACATACTAGATCTACATAGATCTAGATCTACTAGTATAATATAGTTTACTTAAATTTAAATAAAATTAAATAGATCTAGTAATAGTAAATAGGGCCTACATTACTACGTCTAGTACTAGATCTAGATCTAGTACGGATGATTGATAATGAACTAAGTAACAAGATCTTCAAATCTACATTTTAATTAAATTTAATTTATTAGCCTAGTAGTATTTAGTATTAGGCATCACGTCATTAGGGCCTATTAATTGATAATATTAAGCTTACTGAAGTTACTAGTAGTATCAGTAGTAATCTATATCAGTATAATTAAAGATTAGGGCCTATAGGCCTAGGCTTACTAATTAATAATTAATTATAGATTATATCAACTATCATCACCACATAATAAAATAACAAAATAAACAAAAATTTTAGTCTAGATCTAGAAATTCTAGCATCAAATTCTAACAGAACCAACCATCAATCTTCTGCTGGCTCTGAACTCAGGAGGTAAGCAAGAAGTAGATCTAGAATTGAATCTAGTTTTAACTCTTTAAGACCGTAACGACGCTCCCAGCGGTCGGTCCGCCGGCCTACCATGCCATAACGACGCTCCCAGCGTCCGATAAATATTTCTCTATTTAATTCGTTGTTTTTCGGAATCCAAGTTTTTAATCGTAAATCTAGGTCATGATAACGCTAGAGCGGCCATTTTTCTTTGTATTTACTTCTTGTAGTTTTCTCGTTAGATCGATTTTGTATTTTATAGAATTTTTTTTGTAAAACAACTCGAAAAACGGCATTTTTTAACACTGCGGAAAGCTGTTCAGCGGCCGCGTCTAAACGTTTTCGTCGCCGCATTATAAAATTAACAAAAATTAAAGTATTTATACTAAGACTAATCCGATCCATGATTTTTGTAGATAAATGGACGTACTTTCGTTTTCTATGAATAAAAACTCATGAAAAGTTATTCTTATTATTAATTTTCCCGACAGAAGCATAATTTTTGCATGAAAAAATCAACTCTTTATTTTTTCTTCTTTAAAACTAAGTAATTATCTTTCTTCAGTAAATAAATAATTCCTTAAAGTTTATATCAGTGTGTAGTGTATTCAATTACGATAATTTTTTATCAATCATGTGTGGGGTTAAATTAACGGGTAAAAAGATATGGGTCATTTAGCCGCACGGGTACTGAAAAAAAATGAGTGAAAAAAAATAATTCAGGTAAAACGTGAAAATAATTACGGGCTTAAAGAGTTAATATTTTTTAATGTGTAGGCCTAATCCTATTGGTAAGGTGATGGTGAATTGTGCGAGGTGGTAAACTGCGAGAAGAGCGCAAATACCGTCGTTCATGTGACATTTTTGTCTCACATATTTCCACCACACGATACTTTGGGGTCGTCCATAAATGACGTCACACTCGTAGGGGGGAGGGGGGGTCCTTAATTTTGTGACTGTGTTTTGAGGGGGAGGGGGAGTGTTCAGATGGTTGACGTCACACTTTTGCATTATAAAAAAGCAATGCCAGAAAACGAATTTTAGCCATTATTTTGCGTTATGCCTATAGAAAACTGTTTTAATAAATTGTAATAGAAATTTATTAAAAACACTCTATGTTGACAGAGTTCAGACAAGATTTGGGAAAAATATCGCTGTTTTAAGAAAAATTCAACTGCAATTTTGAGGGGGATTGTAGGCTGAGGTGTGATGTCATTTTAAAGGGGGGGGGGGGGGTCTGTCTTTTTGTGACGGAGGGGAGGGGGAGGTAAAAATCGTCCAAAAAATGTCTCCAATGGATGACCCCTTATGCTGGGTGGTGGTAAAATGTGAAGATATCTGGGAAAACTTTACCACACCCAATTTACAGTGATATTCGATATAGACTTAAAAGACATTTTGTTTGTATTGTTAAAACTTCCAATTTTTCCTTTGCTAGACATTCTGAAGATTTTTTAACTTCCCCTTCTTTTATGTCAACTTAGAATGCCACCTTGTTTGAAATTGCCTGATAGATCTACTTCTTTGTCTTTCTTTTGTGTAGAACACTGAGGCCACCTGATTTATTGCTGCAAAAATGTATTGTTGCATAGAAATTTAGTGTTATTACCACCGCCGGCAATTTTTTTCCCCAGCATATAGATATAAGCTCTCATGAACTCCAATGCTCCCAGGTTGTTTTATGAATCTTTCTTTGTTTAGAGAAAAAATAATAGCTCTCAGAAGGCTATTCATAGTTTGCTGTGGCAGGCCAATAAAATTTATTTAAATATTTATTGTCCTGCGCATGCATCCATATTATTTTATTATTATCATGCATATAACACTCAACTTTTCTACATTTTTATAACTGTACAGGTGGTTGAAGTGGTTGCACATCAGCTAGTTTTTTTCGCACCATGAGTTTCATTCCTTTTGGCTCGAAGTTTTTATTTTGCTTTTTATTTCTATTTTACTTTAGGGTTAGGCATTAGTGTTAAGTTTACGGTTAGGCAATAAGGTAGGGTTAGGCATTAGGGTAGATTTAGGGTTTGTCATTAGGGTTAAGGTTGGGCATTAGGGTTAGTCATTAGGGCTATGCTTATTGTTTGGCATTGGGGTTCATGGTTAGTGATAAGGTTAGAAGATCTAAAAACATTAGTTCTACATAACAGTACATATTGCATAAATAGGGAAATTTAAGAATCACAGAAAAATGCCTTGCTCTAATTAGTTCAAATAGCTGCAGCGATATATTATAGTCTACTAGTCTATAGCAACACTATCTATAGCTATGTTCCAGGATCTATATTTAACAGGTGTTGGTAAATTTTGAGACGCAAAGTGTCAAGGTGATAATTTACGAGAAGAAAATGCAAGACATATCTTTGGAAACACAGATAAATAGCTACTGGTTTTATGCTTTTGGTGTGTGTTTTTTCTTCAGATGTAGAAATAGTATATAGTGTCCTTTTTAAAAAATTTCTTGATCTAGTTCAGATTTTTTCTTAATATTAAAAAATTGTAACATTGTTGCTCCTATGATCGCCTGCTCAAGCTTTCTTGTCAGTGGGAGAAAAAACCTGTCTTTGTCGACGGGTCATTGTGAGTTCATAAAGAGAATATTCTTTAGACTATTTAAAAAAAAAATCTATATCTAAATCTATATTTAAAGTTCTAAACATTGTTGCCAGCTTCTTGCCCGCTCATGTTTTCTTGCCTGCATGAGAAAAATACTGCCATTTGGGGGGGGTCAGTGCATATAATTCATAGCCTAAGCAATAGCAATATGGCAAACTTGCATGGTATTACTGTGAGTTCATATAATCTTGTCAGTGGGAGAAATATTCAGCCCCATTGTGTAAGATTAATACCTTCAGATCTTTAACACTTTGTACTGTTGTACCTAAGGTATGCGTTGTTTATTTTAAGTGCTATTTATTTTTTATTAAGTAATTTTATTTACAGAAACTACGCCACCTTAATTTCAAAATCTGTTTTAAACAGTTGTTCATGAAGGTCTGTATCTTCTCTGTACTTGCCTTGGAGAGTCCATGTCTCTGCTACATTTAGCAAAACAGCCTTCACATTTAAATTTTATATCCTAATTCTTGTTGTGTTGGAGATGGCAAAAATTTTCCATATGAGTCACAGAACTGAAAGCAAAATGGGGTCTATTAATTCTATTACTATTATGTCTTCCTCTGTGCCAAGGTAGACAAACTCTTCCATTTACATGTCTTCCATCTATTATTATTGGGGCCTCCTGGTTATTGTTGATTCTCATTACTTTTCTTTGTTCATCTTTAGACCTACATGATGATGAGATGGCATGAACTTTATTTTGCATGTCTTGTTAGTGTGAGAGTAGGGTTTGATCATCTTCAAATACTAGATCCTCTAATTTCTCAGTGAATGTCCATTGTATACCTATTCCAGAATTGGAATAGGCTGTGCATGTCACCCAATCTAGAACCACCAAGAAGAGAAAGGGCAACAACAGACACCCTTGTCTAACACCTGTGGTGACCTGGAACTCTTCCAATAGTTTCCCAGCGTGGCTAATTTGACATTAAAATCCCCTTGTAAAGTTGGTGAATAATTTCCACTAACTTTGTGGGCCAATCAGATTCCATATTATTTGCCTATCCACACTATCAAAGTCAAAGGCCTTCTTGAAGTCAACAAAGCAGATATAAAGTGGGGCTTGCCATTCTAGCGTCTGTTCTACAATGATTCTAACACCGCGTTTACACTTACGACAATGTTACTAGACTTGACCTACTAAAGTGTATACTAAACATGTTACGAGTACATGGAACATCTTCTGAGTCGCAGGGCACAAAACCACGCCCCTTTTTGTGTTCTGGGTCAAGTTTTTGTCATCGCTCTCTGAGCGAAAACATTGGACATGTTCTGAATTTTCAGATGAGTGCGCATGCGTCAACAGTAGTAAGCGCATCATAGTCATAGGTCTCAGCTGATTGCAAAATTAAATATAGATTCTATAATGATTTTGAGTTTTTGAACACACGATTTCATAATTTATAATTTCTCTAGGCCCTGCTAAAATTTACATTTTTATCATTTCTTTTTATTTCTTTAATTAAATTCCAAACACGTTTTAATGAAATAATATCTAAGGCATTATAATTTTGCCTTAAAACCAGTTTAGGTATTAATTACGAAAATATTAATTAATTAAAAAATATAATTGAACCAAATTTATCTCCAATTTTTTCTTGAGCAACATATTTTCAGTTTCCGTCTGACATGAATAAATCTTTATTCCCACCAGAATGTGCTCGTGGGATCACACATAATCAACTGACTATAAAAACAGGCAGATAAAAAAAGTCATAGGCTAATTATTTAGGTTTAAAATGGGACATAAAGAAACGAATTGGGGTGGGGGGGGGGATGTCATAGGCCCTATTCTAAAAACTACATCTACTTTTATTCTTAATAATAGACTCAGTATAGTGATAACACGATCACGATACGTTTAATGAACTTAGCAGATGCAAGTTTTCGGAGAAAATCAGACCTTTACTTTCAGCAAACAAATATTTACCCCTGTTTATTGGAAGCTGTTTCTGAAGGATATAGACTAGCAATTAAAGAAGCTGGGGAAATGGCTACGATGGGGTTGGGGTGGGAAAGGGTGATTGTACTGCGGGATGGGAGGGAGGGGTAATTACAGGTGGGTAATGTCTACGACCCGTGGTATTATACACAGCATTATATTTATAAAAACTGTCTAGCTCCAGTAGCTGGCATAAAATTTATAAAATCTTGCATGTTCTCTAATTTTTAGATCATTCATTGTTGAATCGCATACGCAAGCACCGTGGCTACACCATTTTCCTTAAAAAAAAAAACAACTGTGTGCCCACTATCTTTTTTTTTACTTTGATTTCTCTTTATTTAATTATCCGGGCCTATATAGCAGACGCTCCGGGTCAAAGGTCATGCTCGTTTTATAAAATGTTCTATAACAATGTTCTAGTGTGAACGCTAAAGTA